AAGAATTTTATTCAAAATCTATGCCAACTTAAGAATGTTTCATGCCTAAATTTTAAATTGCCATATTTATTTTCCACTTAATATAGAAACAAGTTGCAACATGATACAAATATATATATATACTGAAGAAAGAACAGTATCCGTTAGCATTTGTAATCACTCGGTAGTAACTCACACTTTACTAGTATATTCTAAATTAGACCGTTATCCACAAATTATAGTCTATTATGACTATGTTGCCACTTTTCTAACTAATTAACTACGACATGCGTCTTAACTCTAGCTGACAATCTAGGCTACTGCCAGCAAGTATACTAATGAGAATATAAATCATTCTTCACCTCCAAATTAATTTTAATAAAAAGTTGAAGAACTATTTTATTATGTTAACAGAAGCAATGAAATAATTCCTCTGACTGCCACCTTGATACTTTTACCATCCACAACTTGGAATATTTCATGTCATCCTTAACATTCCAGAGCATTAGTAAGTAACCTGGAATATTCTAGACATATTCCTAAGAAATATTTTGTGATTTCATGGAACATTCTTAGAATGTTACAAGCATATTTCAGTTTGAAATATTCTCCTAATCATATTTCATGGTTATATTACATATCGTAAAAAAAAAAATCTTCCTATATTTATAAAAATTTACCAGGCTTTAAAAAGTCGATTATAATGGTTTCTTGTATACAAGCTCTAAGAAGAGTCTTTAGATATTGGCAAGCTACAACATTTGCTACCTTTTTATAGCTTAAATTTCCAGAACATTCCTGAAATACATGAAGACCACCCTTTGGATACTTTGAAGAACATTCATCACATTTTGAAAAGAGGCTGGGATATTCCATATATGTTCTCGTATGCGATTGTAAAATTATGGAATTTTCATCAAATACTCTCATGTTTGCCCTTGAATATCTCAAGGATATTTTTGTACTTGTGTGAGACATTATCACATCTAAACTTTGAAGGACCTACTTGAAATCACTCCATACATGTTAAGTACTGTCACTAACGAATATGAAACGAGAGTCACATACATACTCAGCATGATATGACCCACAGCTAAACATCATAATAACAAAGCAGTCTTTTTTAATGCCTGTCAGGAAAGAACAACTGACGAAATTGGCATGGGGCATAAAAATTGGCACCAGAGGACTGTCTGAGAAGTACCAGATGGAGCATGACCACCAAACTTTCACAAGTCAAAATTCTTACAGAAGAAAAAATGGTAGCTATAAAGAGAATCTAGTTTCCAGCAAGGAAAAAAATTTGGGAACAAAGCCAATTTACTCGCTAAATATCAAGAATGAAGGATCTGTCCCATTTCCTGATTTATCTCATAAATTTCCTTTAGAGAAAATCCTAAAAACTAATATAATTACATACAATAATAAGAGAAATATACAAATTTCTTTCTTTATCTTACTATTTACACTACAGCATAAAATAAAAAAGGGGGGATGGAGAAAAAATATTTTTTTTGTCCTAACTATTCATATTATAACAAATACATAATGTGTATTATAAAGTAAAAAAGTATTAAAAAAAGTAATTTCTTTACCCTATTCTGTGCAATAAATTAAAAGTAGAATTCACTTTCTTTTTCAAAAGAATATATCACAAAGAGAAAGTGCTGCTATACAACGACAATCAAAACTGCAAGAACTTCAGATTCCTGGAAATTATGTCAATAAACTGCAGCTATTTGCATTTTGATTGCAAACACAAACTTCTGAAATATTAAATCAGATTATGCAGTTTTTGCATTATTTGAAGGAATAATTTAAATTAACCTTTAATAGCATATTTTTTTTATAATTATTCTGTACAGTTTTCAATGCCTTAAAAATTACACTATGTACAGTTACAGTTCTTGCACTAGAAAATTTGTCACATAAACGATTAGTCACAAGTATAAACATGTCACTTTTATTTGTCAAAAACCTCATACTTATTTCTTTATTTTTAATACACCACAATGAATTGCTTTTGATGGAGCTGAATATAAAACAAGTCAATATACTTACAGTTGTGTATCTTGGGTACAACATTTTGTAATTTTAAAATGTCAAAAAGTCTCTCCTCTTTTAAATATGGAACCATATCTATGCTGTGCAGAACATCATATGAGATGAACACAGTGATATAAAACAAAAAGTCTTCTAAGGATTGTAAGAGAAGAAACTCATTTTCTTGGAAATGCTTATTAAGAGACAGATGCAGAGCTATTATTATCATTTCTAGTGAAAGGAACAGCATAAAAGTAATTTCAGAACAAAAACATAATCAAGCAGAAGACTGGCATTTCTTACAATGCAAGACTAGGGTTTCTTACAGCTAAATATATCTATGACTAGTGCAGAACCTACCAACTGTAATGCAAAATATGGTTCAGTAAAAATCAAATGAAACTTCTGATAAACATGGGAAAAATTAGTCTTTTAAAATGGCTATACATTGCATAAGAAGTATGCAGTTGCTGCTGGACCTAACTTCGATTGAGGAAGTCTAGAAAATTTGTAAGAAAAGTATAAGTAATCAAATTTTTCATGTTTGGTTAATTTACACCTTCCCAGAGATTCACAAATTCCCAATCACTTTTTCAACTTATTGGGAATAATACACACTTCAGAAGAAAAGTATTAGATATACAGTGGTATAGACTAGAAGAGAAACACGCTAATGTGACAATCAAAATCGTAAAAAACAACCTTATATTTACCGTAGGTATAATGAAACACTTAATCGATTTCGAGGGCAGCTAAAGGTCCCTCCTCATCAGGAGAAAGAAATACATAGAAAGAAGAAAATAGGAGAAGGAGTCACAGAAACACGTGGTGCTTATCAGCACTGCACGTGGTTAGAACTAGATTTTTAATCAGAGTTGCACTGGCCACCTACTTTTACTGAGCCAGGCTGTCTGATCACGCATAAAGAAATATTAGCGAAGTTAAAATAGGGAGCGAGGGGCAAATGCACCTTATGCTCAAAATCTGAACTTCAAATAATGGAAAGCAACCACTGAACGGATTTTTATACCCTCTGGTAGTACCAAGCGCGAGGAGGTAATGCCATCTATCGGCAAAAATAATTGAATTAAGATAGTAGAATTTTAAAGGCATTAGGAAGGACTGGATTGGACTTCAAATCATTAACTAAACTTTCTAAATCTTTGTGAATGTGAAAAGCCTCAAGAAAATCCAATTCATCTATGAAAGAAGCCTTTTGGATGATTTTTGCAGACCCAAAATCAAAATTATGGTTAAAAGTCCAGCTATGATACGCTATTGAAGACTTGTTAATTTCGCCTTTTTTGACATAAGATTCATGTTCCTTGATACGAAACTTCAACGCTCTTTTTGGTTGGCCAATATATCTTAAACCACACTGACATGATATACTATAAATTCCCCAAGAATTCAAGACAGAAACGCAATCTTTTAGAATCGAAGGGTGAATTTTATTAATAGGGGAGAAACCGACTTGAAAATTGAATTTCTGGAGAATCCGTGCAATTTTATAGCTAACAGAAGGATAAAATGGAAGCACGACAAGGTCATTAATATTATTTCTAACAGTGGAATGTCTTCTTTGAAGGGAATCTGAAAATTTTTTGACGGCTTTATCAATAATCACAGGAGAAAATCCACGGTCAATTTTCCACGGTATTTGAGAGCAGTTGCGATTGACCGTGGATTTTCTCCCGTGATTATTGATAAAGCCGTCAAAAATTTTCAGATTCCCATCAAAGAAGACATTCCACTGTTAGAAATAATGTTAATGACCTTGTCGTGCTTCCATTTTATCCTTCTGTTAGCTATAAAATTGCACGGATTCTCCAGAAATTCAATTTTCAAGTCGGTTTCTCCCCCTATTAATAAAATTCACCCTTCGATTCTAAAAGATTGCGTTTCTGTCTTGAATTCTTGGGGAATTTATAGTATATCATGTCAGTGTGGTTTAAGATATATTGGCCAACCAAAAAGAGCGTTGAAGTTTCGTATCAAGGAACATGAATCTTATGTCAAAAAAGGCGAAATTAACAAGTCTTCAATAGCGTATCATAGCTGGACTTTTAACCATAATTTTGATTTTGGGTCTGCAAAAATCATCCAAAAGGCTTCTTCCATAGGTGAATTGGATTTTCTTGAGGCTTTTCACATTCACAAAGATTTAGAAAGTTTAGTTAATGATTTGAAGTCCAATCCAGTCCTTCCTAATGCCTTTAAAATTCTACTATCTTAATTCAGTTATTTTTGACGATAGATGGCGTTACCTCCTCGCGCTTGGTACTACCAGAGGGTATAAAAATCCGTTCAGTGGTTGCTTTCCATTATTTGAAGTTCAGATTTTGAGCGTAAGGTGCATTTGCCCCTCGCTCCCTATTTTAACTTCGCTAATATTTCTTTATGCGTGATCAGACAGCCTGGCTCAGTAAAAGTAGGCGGCCAGTGCAACTCTGATTAAAAATCTAGTTCTAACCACGTGCAGTGCTGATAAGCACCACGTGTTTCTGTGACTCCTTCTCCTATTTTCTTCTTTCTATGTATTTCTTTCTCCTGATGAGGAGGGACCTTTAGCTGCCCTCGAAATCGATTGAGTGTTTCATTATACCTACGCTAAATATAAGGTTGTTTTTTACGATTTTGATACAGTGGTATCTTTAAAGTATTACTCAAAATGATATACAGTTTAGGCAAACAGTAATGATTAAAATCTTTAACCTTAGGTTAAATTATTAAGCAATGGATTATATTAATAAACTAAAACTCTAAAAATGAAGGATAAATGCATTACGACCAAAAGATAAATATACACAAAAGATAAATGCAGTACACACAGAATCAGACTCAAAAGTAATTTACTTAATACAAAAAATGATAAAATTTTAGATTTTATCTCCACATCACATACACAAAATGTGGGAAGAGGGAGGAAGAACAGAAAAATTAAATTATTTTAATAAAAATGTAAGAAATATAAATACCTGGAAATTTCCTTGTAATAACTTTATTCAGATCTTTTAGAACTTTTTCAGCAGTATCATTAGAAATCAGCCTCTCTTTCTCAACTGCTTTCAAATAATCACTTAAAGCCTCTATATGCGCACATCTAGCAGCTACACAAGAGCCTTTATGTTTTTCAGATGTAGTTTTAGAATTATGTTGTTCCTGCACATGAATGCAAATTAAGGGTAAGAAATTGCAATTAAAAAAAAAAATCTTAAAATTTATAGCTTCAATTGAATTATGATAACATAAAATCAACTCATACTATGAGATAGCTGAATCTCAGTTTAATACAATTTATCCAAACCATTAAATTGAAAATATATACATTAGAAGAATAAATAATATTTTGAATAAACTTATTAAAACCTAATCATATGAGGTTTTCCACTTTATTTTGATGATTCCTCTTCAAAAATAAATAACTTTATTGTTAAACACTGAAAAGTATTTATATGAAGATCTACAGAATTTTTTAAATAGAAAAACAATATATTTAAAAGTATATCACAAAAGTAAATAAATAAGTAAATAGTGATAAATCACATATACAATGGACTTGCATATTTATGAACTTTCAATTTACAAACTATGCATTAGTGTTGAAGACTTTTATTTATTTTTTAATGGCATTCCCATTTACATTTCTTCAGTCTTATCACTTCATAAAGTGCAGATTCCATCACACAGGAAAAATTCATTTATTTAAAACATTAATAAATATCTGTAAGACTTTTTCAAGTACCAGCATTATAAGAAGTAAATACTATTTCTTGTACAGATAATTTTTAAATTACCTAATTATTTGCTCCTCCCCTCCAAAAAATATTTTGATTTCATAATGCTCCTGTGTTTGCCAATAAATATTATATGACCCCTAATTCAAAAAAACTTTAGAAACAAATGATGAAAATTATAAATTCTACAATTTGACAATTATGAAATTAGTTTTTAACTGTTAATACAATCATAACTTTTATCAAAACTTTCATATCAAAACAGAGGATGAGGTTCGAATGCAATAACCTAAATGATATACATATTACATTTACCCAGATGTAATAAAAACCTGATATGATAGCATACAGATAGAATAAACCATCATCATTTATAATTAGTAAATGCTAATTAGAAATGGAAGTATCATATACACATATTTATACTTGCAATATGTAATAACATTCCAAAGTTTTTGAAAGCAAGTTATCTGTTCACATACATCCAAAATACAGCTCAAGCCAATACTGAACTTAAAGTAAGAAACATTTATAAGAGGATAATGCCTCTTATAAATTTTTCTAATGAAGACACACTTCTCTTCCTCTTCATAAATCTTTATTATAATATTCTTTATAGAAAACAACTTCATAATTTTTATAGCAAGTGATTTGGTTACTTCTGCATGTTTAAAAAAGTCAAATTATTTTTAGAAAAAAATTTAAATGATTACGAGTCATTCATCACTGTTTTTTGGAAAACACTTTTCCTCAGAAAAATTCTAGGCATTTTTAGACTTTCTTGTGACATTACAGGTGCCAGATGGATTAAGAACATTAAAGAAGATATAATTCCCTTACAATTTTATGATTTGAAAATATTCTTACATTCAATGAAAGCATATCCTTCTTCCAGACCTCTGACAAAATGGATGAAGAAAAAGGTGAGGGCAAATGTGGATCAATATTAATCGCAAGACTGTATTTATTATTATTTAACAGGCTTGCAGTACAACAGGCTTCACAATCTGAAATATTAAAACGCTTTGAATCAGTTAGTTTTGTCAATCTATAATGATAAAACAGAGTTTGTCTGTATATGCATATCACATAGTGCAGAGATAAATATCTTCAAAGCTATAAAAAAATCAAGTTGTTTACATGAAACTCATATAGATCTCAAAGCAACTTTTTCCAAAATTTGATTTCCAGGGTTTTTTTTAATTTAATTTAATACTAAAATAATTTTTAGTGGATTTTTCATATACATTTTTCTTCCTAAATAAAAAAATTATTTCGGAATTTCATTGTTTACATAAAAAAAAAAACAGAAAATATTTTAAATAAAGTCAATCTCTAATATGATTTATCAATTTTTGATGATTTTTCATAATCTCACAATTTTTTTCAACCACTTCCTGTTGGGTTATTTAAAAAATTTCAAAATTAAAAATTATCTGTTATAAAGTTAAGAAATTTTCGCAGATTAAAAAACAAAAATTTCACCTTTTTTAAAATAAGAATGATTAAAAAAATTTAGATTTCCCATAATCTTTCCTCCCAGAAAAGAGCATTTGGATTTTAAACGAATGAAAAGCTTTTTTAGTTAGAAACCACAGGAGCCCATGTGAAAATCCTGTTTTAAGCTTCACTTTAATAACACACTTTTTTAATTTAATTAACTGTACAAACATTTTTTAAGATACATTTTTAAATTTAATGCTAGATGCATTTAATGCAGTTTCACTTGAGATATAATTTGTTTCTGATTTGGATAGAATTTAAGGATTGACTGGCATTTAGAACTGTTCTTTTTCCATTTTATACATTATATATATTAGGTTAATTGCCATTTCATTCTAACAGCTGATTTTCTGAATTTTATTATCATATGAGTAACATTACATTTTCATTTCCTCTCTCCATGGATAAGTTTCCATATTTAAGTGATTATTTATCACTATTACCCTCTTATTTTTGGTTATATTTTTACTTGCTTGTGCAAAGTAAGGGATGTATTGTAAAATTTCAGTTATGTGTTTGTGAGTAAAATATAATATATAAAACAAAATTATTAAACATAATTGGTTTCAATTAAATTTAAGAATTTTGTTTCATATTTTATTTTTTACATATTATCTTTAAATTCATGCATCATTTTACATCACTCTGCAGCATGTTACATGACTCTTTCCCTACAATTTCTTTACACTGCAAAATCCAGTCACGCCTCAGGAGCAAAACAAAGACTTTCCAAGCTATAAATAATACTGCACTTATTACATATCACATTTTACCTTGCTTTGTCTGCCAAGAAAAGTCGTATCTCTTTGCTAAGCAACTTTTTCTACACTATTGGCCATTAAAATTGCAACACTGGGAAGGAAGGATCTGACGTATGTAAAAATCACATAAAAGGAAAAAGAGGTTGGGATATGGCAAATTATTAGTATTTCAGTGCATTTAGATAACGCAGCAAAATGAGGCAGACTTAAAAACTGCACAGCAATAATGGAACAAACTTTGAAGAAGCTAGTAACTCATCGGAGTCTCTCGACTGGGATAAAGTATCTCAAGACAGCTCCACAATGAGAATCCAATGGATTTTCAAGCCTCCTACAGCTGCCTGGTGGGGTGGTTGGTGGAAGAGGATAATTCAGATGATAAAGAAACTTTTAAGAAGGGTACTAAGAAAAGCCTCCTTAAAATATGAGGAAATGTACACTGTTTTGTGTGATACGAAAGTAGTCATCAATTGTCGACCCTTAACTTACTTATCCGAAGATGCATAACATTTAATGCCCTTGACACCTTCCATGTTTCTTCAAGAGTTCTTCCTGTTCATATTAAAAATGATGTTTTAACAATCAAGCCAGTTTTTGCTCCAGTCAGATCTATGCATTATTTTTTCCCACCATGTCTCTAAAGTGATTGGTTTTATCTGCTCTAGTCAGACCTCTTCTAAATTCTATCAATCTACCTCGACTATGAGCTATCTCAACTACGAGCCTCTAAAACATCCTCCAAATTACATAGATGTGTGTATGTGAAGATATAAAAATAGAAACACAAACTATTCACAAATCACTGGAACAAATTTCTAACTTAATTGGCAATATCCATTTAAATTTTTCATTTTAATGAAGTACATCTCCCATTCAAGGATACACATGGCACTATTTTGCATCATCATTTTTTTGTAATGCAAAAGATCTTGCCAAATCACTGCACAGAATTGAAACAAAGGATCCAAATTTTTAAATACTGCCAGCTACTTACTATGCATAGCTTTTCCTCAGCTTCTGACACCTGCATAAATGTGTCCACTACTCTGCATTTTTTTTTTTTTTTTTTTAATTATTACTATTAGACGTGATATGTGTAGTATGGAATTGTGGGGTGCAGATAGTACCCACTGTGCTATGTGAGGTCTGCAGAATGTGCTTTCAGCTGCCCAGATGGTATAGTTGATTAGAGGAGCCAACTGCAGTACCAAAGAGCTCGAGATTGAATACCAGAAAAGACATCGTTCTAGCTGTCCGTCTGTTCATAGAAAGCAGTGGTGGCTGGCTGCCTATTAGATGCCTCTACAATAAAAAATGCCACCATTTCTGGCCTTGGAAGCACCCAATGCTGAATAGGCAAATGACCGCCATTAGATTTTTTTAAAACAGTGCTTCCAAAGACTTGTTTACATCCTGAAAATCAAAATGTATATTTAGACTTTAAGACAGCTACAGTTTATCGTGTTTGCATCATTTTACATACACTGGTGTGCAAAAATTAAGGACGAGACGGTTTTTTCAATATAATTTTGTAGAAAAGCTTTCCAAATCAACACATTTAATACCGTAAAATCCCCAATACGTAAATGTAAGCAACACTTACTAAAAGAGAAATCAGAGGGATAAAAAGAAGCTTTATTGAAAAAGTAGCATGGAGCACAATGCGACTGAAGGCCGAAACATCCCTGTGATGGGTGTCCAGCAAGAAACATCCGGTCTTTAATAGGGGATATGATCTCCCCTGACTGGCTAGGCAGGTTTCACAGCGTCTGTCCATGCTGAGAATGAGGGTGTCAATGAGTTGTTGAGGCATTGCTGCCCATTCGTCTTGCAGCGCCAATCAAAGCTCCGGAATCGTTACTGGTGGTAAGGTACGAGATGCCAAGCGTCTGCCTAGAAAATCCCATACATGCTCGATGGGATTGACATCCGGAGATCGTGCCGGCCAATCCATATGTTCAATATCCTCACTCTCTAAGAGCTGTTCGGCAGCTACTGTGAGATGACATGGTGCATTGTTGTCCATGAAAAGGAACTGCGTACCCATAGCGCCTCTAAAAAGACGCACATGTGGAAGAAGAATCTCGTTACAATAACGGGTCCCGTTGACTGAACTTGCGTCGAAGATGTGAAGGTCTGTACGACTACCAAGCATGATGCCTCCCCAAACGAGAACACCGCCACCTCCATACCTGTCCCTTTCAATGATGTTCGAGGGATGATTGCGGCTTCCCCGCTCTCTCCAGATGAGTATGCGATGAGAATCGCTACTCAGACTGAATCTGCTCTCATCTGTAAAGAGTACTCGTCCCCATTCATTGTCTCTCCAATTCCGGTGTTCCCGGCACCACAGAGAACGCCTTCTCCGATGGGCAGGCGTTAGAGGTACACACCGTACAGGGCGTCGTGCAAACAGACCACCACCGTGCAGTATTCTGGCCACGGTAAAACGCGATATCGGTTGTCCAGTCGCCTGTGTCGTGTGTATAGCGATTTCTCCCGCTGTATGCCACCTGTTTCTTCTGGCCTGTAAGGCAATATACCGGTCATCTGCGGTTGTGGTTCCTCGTGGACGACCACTACTAAACCCCCGGATAGCTGTTCCTGTAGTTTGAAATTGTCTCCAAAGTCGTGAAACGTTGTTGTGAGCAATTCCGAACTCTGCAGCCACACTTGTCACACTGCGGCCTTCCTCCAACTTCCCAATGATTCGACCTCGGGTAAAAGCATCCAGATGTCGTCTAACAGATTAATTATTCGCCATTTCTCGCTGAGGCAGCAACTCGGTGTGATTTTAACTGCTATACTGCGTGCAATCTCTTTGCCAGAAATACTGATCTTACACCGACAACATGCTTTATACTACTCAGACACTCCCCCGTTACGTCTACGAGGCATATTGTGCTGCATATCTGCGCATGTGCTACCGTACATCACCTTACTTAATCTCCTGTCCGCTCTGCCTCTTCGTTCAGCTGATATGCTAATTTTTCAACTTCGTCCTTAATTTTTGCACACCAGTGTAGTAATGCCTATCACAGCTGCGACTTAATTAGTTCTATCAGCATACCCTCTAAAATCATCACACATGCATATAATATGTGTGGAGGGAGGAGTAGAACTTCAACTGCTGACAGATGACACAGCGAGTCACTGAATAGAACCGTACACAGATAAAAATAAGGAGACAATACCACAATGAATAAAGACGTGTGTGAGACATTATTTTCGTATGTAAAAGATCTTGAATCACTATATATGTAAATATTTATCCATTTTCATACGTGTGTAGTTATTTCTTTAATAACCCCCATTAAAATCAAGTTAAATATCCAATTGTCTATGGAGTATGTGTTTTTACCCCCAGAAAAAAAGAAAACAGAAAAAGGGACAGTTCTATATCTCCCGTTCTACTGGGCTGATTGACGAAATTCAAATTGCGTTTTTCATTTTTTGAAAGCATGACTTAGGATATATATTAGATTTATACATAGCATTATTCTAACATAGGTATTTTGACACAAAATCAGACTTTTTCTGAAATAACATACCAATTTTTTTTCCATATTTTTATTCTATGACTTAAATTATGCCAGACTCCCAAGTTTCGTAAAAAATTGCACGAGCACTTTTTAAAAAATTAGCACTCAAAGTTTTAGCTCCTCAATGTTAATTGAACTTGGTATGCATTCATTAATATCTATTTTTTATTAAACTTTTTTATTGTTCCTTTCACATTTCGA